GCATATAGCATCCTTGCAAATGAGAGCATTCACCAAGGGTCACCTCCCGCCGTGGCCGTCGGCGGTTGGAAAAAAGACGCGCTGAAGCGCTCGCCTCCGTCGCAGGGTCTCGCCCAGGCGTGCGGCAGCCATGTGGCAGGGCACAGCGCCACGGCGCCCGCGAGTGCACGAATGTGCACATGGCAAATCAGGCACACGGTGGCAGCGTCACACTGCAGGTGACCCCGCGCCTGGCGCAGCCCCCTTTGACCCCCTCAGGCGCTGCGCATATCTACTGAGTTGTCCAGAACGTGCGCTGCCTAACCCTTTGGCAAATGCTGGCAACTGCTTGTGAAGTGAAGCAAAGACATGCATCGAGTTGTAGCACAAAGTGAGGGGTGGTCCACGAGAGTGGCAGAAGAAAGAAAAGGGCCGGTTCCCTAGCCCAAACCCCTGAGCCAAATCACAAGCTAGTCAAGGGTGGGGTGGGGGGGTCTCCCCCATGCTAACAAGGCGGCTGCGACTCGCGCACATCCGGCGGGCAAGGTAAAAGGCACCTGTACAACAGACCTGATTGCCCGTCGCCCAAGTGTGGGCACAGAGCCAGCCGACACGCCTGCGAATTCCACAACCGCCTGGCGCAAGGCCCTGGCGCGGGCCGGCCCGCAGCGCTACTGACAGGGCCTCTGTCCGGCCGGGCGGCCGCGGGCCCGCGAGCTCGCAGGCCCGCGGCCCCGGCCGCGGGAGCGCCAAATAACTGCCTGTCTAAGACGGAGGCCGGGTGCCAGGGGGCGGGGGCCGGCCTCGAATAGCCTGGGCGGCGCGTGATGTGTGTGAGCAGTGATGGGCTGTGCGGCCATGTCGGCGTGTTGTGGTCCTGCCTGCCAAAAAAAAGCAACAGAAGACACGTGACGGTCAAGATCCTACGCAATCCCTGCCTAAAGACTGCTCTGCCCTGCCTGGCCCTGACTGTGTTGCCAATGGCGACCAACTGCTGCAGGGCGGGCGCGCGTCCTGCGGCGCGCCTGTGGCTGCCGTGGCCGCGGCGCAACCTGGTCGCTGACTGCCAGAAAGGCGCGCCAACCCCGCCCCGCGCGGCCATGCTCAGTACGGCGGCCCGTGCGCGGCCCCAGCGTCCCGCTGTTCGCCGCCGGCGCCCTGCCCAGGCAGCAGACCCATCCCCCCGACCTGCCGCGCGCCGCCCGGCGGGCCAAACGCCCCCGCGTGCACGTCATTGCCTTGGTGGCCGCCCGCGGCGCCGGGCTGCAGCAGTCCGTGGTGGTGCTGCAGCTGCGCGAAGTGGTGGCTGGCCGCAGCGGCCATGTCGGCGGCGGCCGCGGCGGCGGCGGGGTCAGAGGGGTCCCCGCCGGCGCCAACGGCGAGCTGGCCAAACAGCATCGCCAGCGTGTGCGGGTCGTGCATCGCGTGCGGCGGCAGCAGGCCCGGCGCGCCGTAAAACCCGGCCGCGCCGAGCGGCGCCTGCAGCAGGGCTGCGGCAGGGGCGGCGCCCATCGCGCCGCCGCCACCGCCGCCGCCGCCGAGGGGCTGCATGGCGTGGTGTTGGTGGGTCTGGAGCAGCGGCGCGGGCGGCACGCCGTAGCCGAGTTGCGACATGTGCGATTGCAGCTGCAGCTGCAGCTGCTGCGCGTGCTGGTGCTGCTGAGCGATGGAATCGCTGCCGGCGTGCTGCTGGTCGTGGCCTCCTGGGTACTGTGTGAACAACTCCTGATGCTGGTGCTGGTGCTGCTGCTGCTGCTGCACGGGATGCTGCTGGTGCGGCTGGTGGTGCAGGCGCTGCTGGGCCTGGTGCTGCTGATGCTGCTGTTGCTGCTGCTGGTGGTGGTACTGCTGCTGCTGCTGCTGCTGCTGCTGCTGCTGTTGTTGCTGCTGCTGGTGGCGGGCGCCGCGCTGGTGGCGCGGTGGCCGGTTCTGCTGCCTGCCCTGGCCCTGGCCCTGGCCCTGCTGCTGGGCGCTGCCCTCTGGCCGGAGGGCGGCGAGTGCCTGTGTTTGAGCGAGGGGCGGGTAGCGCGGCGGGTGGACGGGCGCGTGGGTGCGGCGAGTGACTGCGCCCAGGCGCAATGCATGCGGCAGCGGCCAGCCAATGCCCCTGCAAAGTAGTGCGCCACGCCGGTGGGCTGGAGCCTCGATTAGATAGAAAGCAAGGTGTGCGCAGGGGTGAGCACCCACACGCATGAGAGAGAGAGAGAGGGAGAAAGAGAGAGAGTAAGGGAGAGAGAGAGAGAGAGAGAGGGGGAGGGACACAGAGTGTGTGTGTGTGTT